CCTGCGTTCGGAAAATCGGTAGCATTCAGAATGAGTTCTGAGAAACTATCCGGTCTCGGTCGATAATCCGCATGTGGAGCAAAACATAAATACCACAATACCATGGCTACGTGTGAGCAGCATCCAACAGGACGGGCACCTGCTCGACATTCACAGTACCAGCCGGTTATATTGCGCTGTGAAAATTCTACCCAGAGGTTGTGTTGCTTTGATAAAATGTGGCGGGAATTAAGACGAGCATGAACAAGGGCGGGTGCCTCCCGATTGACATAGATGTCTGACGAGTTGTTCACCATATGCTCGTCTGTATAATGTCGGGCCTGTGACACCTGGTAGACACCAAATGTTATGGACCGAAGTTCGTCCTCGGAGAGCACAGGGAAATCAGGGACGGCTTCTAGCGAATCAATTGGTACTCCTTTCCATATCTTTGAGCGACGCTTTACGTTACTCTCACTCATAACACGGTGTTGAACAGTGTTGTATGCTGCAGCACATTCAACCATTTGGCGAGCTGACGGAAGAGATGTTCGCAACGGTGGCCTGTATTTGTTGCACAATACAGCGATGATACAGATGAAGTCCCCTATATTGGGCAGATCCTTGTTGGGTACAACATTGGACAGGTATTTCCAGGTTTTCAATCTACCATTGACAGTTTCAACCGCCCAACGCAATTTCATTACCAGCCGGGAATTGTTGGCATCTTCGGTTGACATTTGTTTCTTTCCTTTTTCTAGGAACGCTGGCGAGTGCGTTTCGATCCCAGTTTCTTCGAGGAAAGGGAGAACATCACGAAATCCTCGGTCAAGGATGAGGATATCTTCCTGTTTCATCCATTCAGATATTCCATCTGCATTTGTCTGAAACATGTGCTCTGTTATTGCCGCGTCATTGTTTCTACCGTCAGCGAAGTACGGACCGAGAACACTTACTTTGTAGGCATCTGTTGTCGTGACTATCATGGGTTTTTATGTGGGGGCGGTACTTATTCATAGAGAAACATTTCCTTTGAAAACTGTGCTTACTGCCTTTTTGTATGTATATATGTTCCATCCATGATGAGAATGACTGAATCAAAAAGCTCTTTTATTTTTAATGTTTAAGTGTTAAACGGAGATGAAGTTTATGCCGTATTCATATAAGCTGTGACAGAAACCTGTTACCCGCAATTTAAAAAGAACTTGAACAAAGGCTCTATTACATCTCTAAATATGATAAACAGAAATTTCAATGGTTCTCCATTATATATCAAATATTTTATTCGCGAGAATGCTTGATCCTTTTTATATAGAATAATTTTGAACATTGAAACAGCACAAGTGGAATATTAAAAATATATTTCATATTCAACGGGAAGCATTCACCACGTTCGGCCAATATTTATTAAGATCGTTCTGGACAGTATGGCATTTGTTGAACTTTATGTGTATATATACCATTTTGAAAATTAATCCAATGCCTGTCATAAAATAAAATCAAAAAGACAAACGCGTTTTTGTCGGAAGATTAAAAGGCCGAACGTGCACCGCCTTGGGGCAACTTCAGACAGGCAGTCTGGAGAAACTAACATCAGATTTTCCCACCAAATTCAACGACTTTCAATGTTTTGCATGGACCGAACTTGCTGCAGTATCATATGCCGAGCCTGCCCCGATATGCTGTTTAGATAAATTGATATTACATTCAATGCTAGGCTTTTTCGTATATCATCTTGTGAAACTGACAGAGTGGTACACGTATGGC